ACGCTGCCGTATGCCGCCCGTATCGTCCGGTGCTTTTCTGCCCGTCTTTTCGCTTTTCCTTCACTCGGGTCATTGCTCACCGCCTTTGGGGGTATGATGATATACTTCTAGCTATCGCATGCGCCGCGATATGCCAACCAACTAGGGGATCAAACCAGAAAAAAGAGAAGCAAACTAATTCCACGTGATGATCAGGACCAAGCTGATGCTGTGAGTAAGTGTGGCTGATATTGTCAAGTTTTTCTAAAAATAGTTCATAATAGCCCCGGCTGGTCTAGTGGGTCAGTCAGTTCTTCCTGCCTTTAAATCTTTTTACTACAGTAGCTTTTATGCGGAGTATAGTATAATTCTCGTTTAGGGTTCATTCTTAACATATATGTGAGAGGTCCCGCTCGATCTGCGGCTCAGGACTATCCTTTTTATAACTTTTTTCTATAGTTAGGAGCAGCAGAACTGTATGTAAGAGAACATGGATATGTTGGCTCTACCATGAGCATGTAAACATCATAAGCGGCGAGTAATAATTGCGCGGCAGTATTAAGGCTGGGAAAATTAAAGACTTCAACTGAAAGATATGCAAGTTTTCAAGCCATAGATGACATGTTGCTGTTGTTGAGTAAACCGTCCAGTATGTATATACCCAAGTATAGTCCTAAATCCGTCAACCCACCTTAACTCCGGTACAAACCCGCCAAGACGTTTGATCGAAAGACTCGCGATAATCTTCCGACGGTGTCAAATCAATCCTCACTTATTCGCTGTACAGCCCCTCACGACTTTCTCAATTCCCTTTAAATAATACAAACATCTCCTTCTCCCGCCACTTGCAGGAAGATCTCAAAAGATGGCCTCCGGAATGTACGTCTTTCTCGCCACGCACACTATACACTCCCCTCTTCATTATCATCAATACGGGTGAGCCCATACTAACCCTAGAATCCTAGCTTCAACTCTACCTACTACGGCAGAGACTACCGCGCCGGGGCTGCCCTCCTGCGCGCCCGTCGTCCCTACCTCGTCAAGAATGCCTTGACCGGTCTCGGACTCATCGCGTTCACTATCAGCGTCTGTACGTTCGACTCCGATCTCATCGTCTCCCCGGAATCACAAACTAGAAATCATACCAGTTCCAAGGAATATCGTACTAACAAATTAATTCTATGAAAGACGCCTACACCATCCGCGCAGTTGGCCAGGATGAATTCTCTGATGTGAAGGTCCCCGAGACACCCGCGAAGCCTCAGCAGAAGCAATGAGAGCGAATTGACCGTTCAATCGGACCCGTTGATGTGTAAATTCCGCTCTCGATCTTGGCTATGCTGGATTCTCGGTTGGTCTGGGTTGGAATTGCACACCCACGGTCAAGGGTAATGGTTTGATTCGATCGTTGATCGGATAATGTATCGGGTACCGGAGTACGTGGCGAATTATGTTTCCTTTGACGGGCATTACCTGCGTGTGGGCTTTGAAGGGGGGAAGCTTTTTCAGCGTAAGGGAAGTAGGAAATGTATGATTCCTACTGGGAGTCTACGAAGTGTCAAGTGATGGTGAATTGGGGTTGTGCAGGACCCAGCGCCGCGGCATCGCTGCGCAGTTGAGGTGGTGTGAAGAAGCAAGTCGGTTGGGTGCCGGGTTAAAAAATACCTCTCAGCTCATTCTGTTGTTTTTCCTGTTCTTATTAGCATTTATATCTGTATAGTATCAGTTTGAACCAGTCAAGATACCACCCTCTTATTGATTGCAGAATCGTGATGCAGTACCACCGAAGCCCAAGATTTACGGAGACTGGGGTTGATTACAATGCACGACGCAAAGCCCATTGCAACATGGTGGCTTATGTTCAAATCACATGCATTTTCTAATCGTCTACATTGCCGCTTTAAACGGTGTTCAAATACAAAAACATGGAATTGAGAAACATGCTAAACAGAGAGAAGGGATCCATCTGTCCCTTACGAGGCCACAAACCAAAGATGGGCGGAATCACAGACTCCACCTTTACTCGGTTCGCAGAACGCGGGGCCCCTTCCTCTTGGTAGCGCGCTTCCGCTTGTGGCCCCGCTCAAAGGCTGTGGCACTGTTGTGGTCGCGGCCTAAGTTGTCAAGGTCCTTGACCTTGTAGATACGGATGATCCAGTTCTCGCTGGTAAACGCTTCTTGGAGGGTGGAAAGCTGTGGCCCTTCAGCGGGCAGTCGGGAGCCTCGGACGCGGTCCATGGCCTGACCCTGCTGGAAGAGGGCGTTATAGTTATAGTAGGACATTTTGTACCTGCCGGGTCTCATTAGTACATGCTTTAAAAGGTATCAATTGTAAAATTCGGGCGTCCTTACATCAAGCTGTTGCGCATCGTGGGAGTAGCCTCATCATCCACACGGTATTCGCCCCGTGCGGTGAAATAGTCCCGCTCCTTAACCTCATCGGGCCAGATGCCTTCGGCAATTCTAACCATCCAGAGGAACTTATTGATGTCATCACCAGAGTAACCCAACAATCCGCCGAACACTACCAGCACATAATCAACATCATGCTGGCGGAGGATAGGATAGCTGACCTCCTCGCGAGAGCTCATCGCCTTTCCAACCGTGGCGATGTGGGTGTTATTCCAGGTGTTGTTGTCGACAAGAGTGGGGCGATCCGCCATGCCACCAATCTGGTATCCATAATCCCACCAGGACATGATCTTGGCGTTATCAGGGGTGTTCTGACGAAGCCAGTAGTAGGCTTCACGGTAATCGTCGATGATGAATTGGCTGCCGTCCGGCATCCGACTAGCCAGAACAACCGAAGGGGAAGAGTAGGCATTGGATGTGACCCAAGTGCAGTGCGCAACGAACAGGAGCAGATAAATGACGACAGAGGATGTCACAACAGCCTTGGAAATATAAGAGGAAATTCCAACAACCGGGTTCCTCGTGGAACGAAGGCCTTCTGTGGACGCCTCATCTTGGGCCTTGCTTTGAGGACTCGGCCCACGAGATGCAAACACATACGTATCAATGATGGTCGACAACGCCAGCGCAGCCGCCACGCAGACAATCGGGGTCAGTGTAAGCATGAGACGAACCATGACACCGGCGAAGTAGCTTGCCAAGACTGCGTAGATAATAACGAAGACGTGCTCATCTTTGAGTTCGCGGAAACACATGTAGACTCCGGCGGGGAAGAGCCAAATAAGGAGGTTCAAGTCAAAGAAGAAAGCTGGCCAAGCAGTCGGCTGGTGCTCCGACACTGACGCAATGATGGGGATATGGATTTTGGCGTAGCCAGTATCCCACAGGGAGTAAAAGCGACCGCTCCACGGGGCGATTACTCCGGACACGGTCAAAAGAACAAGTCCGGCAAAGGCAACGCTAAATACGACGATGACCATGGCAGTGAGAAGTCTTTGGAATTGTTTACCGGGGATAAAGCCGCGGACAAAGTCAGCAAATGCCACGAGTTGGATCAGACCAAATACACCTAGATAGTCGTTAGTATATCTCCCGTTAACCATTCGAGAGCACGCTTACCCAAGGCAGACATATGGTCACTGTTCCGAATGGGGAGGAAGCCGACGAATGGAATCTGCATGCTTGCCAAAGTTCCCAGCGCATACCAGGTGGTGTAGCTGATGTACAGACGGGAACTATATCTTCCCATACAGAGAAGTACAAAGACATGCAAGGGAATCAGATTGGTGATGAAGACATAACCACCCCAAGCCGACACCATGTAACCGTAGAAGAGGGCAGTCAGCGCTCCCCACATGATCGAACCGTTCTTGACGGCCTTGATCCACAAGAAGAAGGTGAATACAAGAAGGAAAATTGCAATGGCTTCGTTGTCATAGCTGCCCGCAACGGATCGAGAGATGTATCCCGGGGTAATGCCCATGAAAGCAGCAGCAAGGAGACCTGCAGAAGGTGAGATGGACATCTCACAAGTCAACAGATACATTGCAAATGCTGTGAGACCAGAAAATGCCGGCGCGAGCAAGACACAAATGTTGCGGATGTCGACGGGAATGGTCAGGAACCGGAGGATGTGGTAAATCACGCCGCTGGTCACCATGAGACCTGGGTATAACGTGCCACCAGTGACACGTCCCAGAGGGTGCCATGTTCCTGTATAGAATTAGCCAATTAGTATCTTAAGCAGGTGACTGTCACCGCTTAGCTGTTCAATGTAGCTGGTATCGCCTGTCGAATAATCACTCACGGTCATCAAACCAGTCCCAGAAGCTTTCGAAGCCATGCTGTACCAAATATTTTGTTGCGCGAAAGTTAAACCAAGGATCGACTGTAGGGAATAAAGTCAGTGGATACAGAAGCTCTTAGTGAAGAGAAAGACAATAGTATTGTATATTGGTCGAAGGCCGAGGCTGTGGGCAATTTGTCGGAGTATAGGATGGTTGGTGCTGAACGTACATTCATGGATAATGCTTTCAAAACCTAGCGCATAACAAGTTAGTATCAATTGACTCAATGAGTAGCTACAAGTAGATTATCTGTCGAACGACATACGAATCACACTGAACAGTCGACTCGACACTGCAGCGGCGGCGATAGTAACTAGAATGATAATGCGCAGCAGGCCGCGCGTATTCCTGCCGGTGTTGCCTTTCAACAAGGCATCAACAGGTGTTTCGGCCATAACGGCCAGAGAAAAACGTAAAAAGAAAAATCAATGGGGGAAGCAAAAGAGAGTTGGCCCTCGTCCTTGCCTGGAGCTGAAGAGAGGAGTAGTTGGATGTTTCGTTGATTGAATGGGGACAGCTTCGCAAGGTGGTCACTTCCGAGGCTTGGCATCAGGCACGTTTATACTTTACATACATACAATACCGTCACATTGAACTCTCCGCGCGCCCCCACACCGCACCGCCTTTGATATCAATCAACCGTCACTATCAATACTGCTGAGATTAGCTTCAGCGTGCTGCCCTTGGCCTTTGCCTACGTCCTTCTCCCGTCTTGCCGTCTCTGTGATTTATGCACTTTCATTTATACATTATCTAACTAAGATGGATTTACCTCCACTTTCCAGGGAACAACTTGCCACAGTGCTCAAATCCAGTCGTTCACCAACAGAGCTCTACAATACTTTGGTGGAGTATGAAGGCGAGGCTTGTTTAATGTCAACAGCTGATAGCGATGTATCGGAGCTCCTCAGTCTATTCTACTCGACCTTTTTCTTTGCGCATCTTCTGACAGATCAAATGTGAGTTCTACCCATGCCCGAAGCCTGCAGAGAAGGCCCCTGGTCAGTCAACCAATGGTAATAACCTGGCGTCAAATAGATACGAAGCTCGCGCGATGACTCAACGAATGCCACAAGGACTGTCGCAAAATGATCCGTCGCTCCAGAATTGCCTGACTCTATTACGGGCTGTTTGGCAGAGGAAATATGAGTCGATCTACAAAATCTTAAGAGAGCTACCCTGGCCAGAGCTCCTGCGTCCGGCGGTAGAAAACTACGAGAGTATGAGAAACACATCGACTTTGTTTCTGTCGCTGTGACTTGCTCTGACTATTTTCCCAGCATATTTTCAAGAGAAAACATTGAAAGAAGTCAGCCATGCCTACGAAGCGATACGGCCTGCAACAGCTGCGAATTATCTCGGTCTCGATACTGCTGCAGCAGAGCAGGGCGACCCCACAGTGATACAGAAATTCACTGCAGTTGGTTGGATATGGGATGAAAGCACAAGACTATTACACCCTAAACCTATCCCCATGGCACCAGAAAAGGACACTCGGTTATACGATGAAGTGAGTCAAATCATGGCATTGGTTGGGAAGCATGGGGTTTAAAAGGTGGACGACTCGGACACGACATCGCTTAGAAACCTAGAAGATCCGACTGGCTGAACAAAGGGGAGCCGGGGTGGCTACGCAACAATAGACCTCCAGGTCTGTTTAATGGCGGGAACGTCTGTTGAGCAATGATAGAGTATCACCCCACCCAAGGGCGCACACAGTACAAGGGATCAGCAATGACACCAAAGCGAACAGAATCTCTTGCTCTTCTGGCCCAACTGTAGTGTACAGACGCACAACAGCCCAGGGTATGTACAACGACTCGGAGAGGATCTCTAGTAACGTAAAAGAAAAATCATTCCTTTCGCTCGCAATGACACGACTCTGGGAAATTAGGCCAAACAATAATACATAATCGGGGGTTACCCGGAACAACCTTCCTTGTACCCTAGGGGTACGACCGTTGTACCAGAACAGTTGTCACTCGTCCTTTCACTTTGTACCATCCAATTCCTCTAGTTCTCTCCGGCCTTCATCTTCAGGTAGGCCTCAAGGTCGAACCGGCTGTCCTCGGGATCCGTGATGACTGCAGTCAATCGTTAGTGTCGGATCAAGTATGGCATTGCCTTCGTGGAATAAATCGAAGGCGTCGCATCTCATTCAGGGCTCAAAAAGCTGGCAACATACTTCCGCTGTTTTGTGTGTCCTTGGGTGCCGTCTTCTTCTTCCATTCGGCCTTGGCCTGCTGGATCAGGCGCTCCTGGCGGGCGTATTCACGGTCGGCTTCGGCACGCTTCGCGCTGGCAGTGATCGAGGATTGGTGGTAGGCACCGTAGAAGAGGCCGGCTACGAGAGCCGAGTAGCGAAGGACCTGTAATGCGGGTATGATGCTGTCAGTTGCCCAGGGTCCATTATCAGAACGGGGCCCTTGCGGACACTCACGTTGACACCTTGTGCGGTAGCCATCTTTAAGATCCTGGCCTCCGGAGCGAAATTCAAAAAGGACAAATAAACGCAAGGTAACAAGGCCGGATTCCGAGCGACCGTTTGGAGGGTATCAATTGGCAATGGCTGGCAATCGGACAGGATACTCAGAAGCTTGTTCAAGGCGAAGTTCCTGTCGCGAGTTTTTCCGGACCGTCGGGGGCCTGTGCTTATGTCATCCGCCGACCCGGACTCTGGGCGCGGGACGGGGAAGTCCAACTAACACGCATAACATCACTTGAGACGGGAGTAAATAATCATAAACTTGTAGTACCGAACTGATCTGGTTTGGATGGTACGTCAGCCCATCGGCTGTCTCAATTCACCATGTCATCAGCTATGCAACAGCGAAAGGCAGAGATTCTCGCCAAAAGAGCGAAACTTGCCGAACTAAAACGACAAAGAGAGCTGCGCCAGCAGGAGTTCTCGCAAAGTCGGGCTAACAGCGGTGATGCTTCCGAGGTAGGGGACATTCTCCAGCACCACCAATATCCTACAGAAGAACCATTTCTTTTTTAACGCCCCCCACCCATTATAGGTTGTGTCCCCAGTTCCTAGCCGTGCCGATAGCAGAGCGGAGCTCGATGACCTGATCTCACGTCTTGTGGACCGTCCCGGGTCGGCGTCCATCAGCCACGCAGATGGCCCTTCACGCAAAGGGAGCAGACCGAATTCAGTGATTAGCGCTAGCCAAGTGAGCGGAGACCATGCCGAGGCATTTATTCCTGCTGCGCGGCCAGTTTCGCATTCGATCGCCGTCCAAACCGTCGGTGCAGAGCCATATCCGACAGCACCACCCCCTGAACCAAAGCCCGAAATTGTTACATACAGCAAAGGAGTCCAGACAGATGACTCGAAACAGCCACAAGATAATTCATCGATCGAATCTGAAGAGGAAGACGGACAGGATCCTACGGGCACAGGTAAACGCCTAAGCAAGAAGGAGCGCGAGCGCGAGAGGAGATCCGGAAGAAGCTTCGCGCAGAAATTGAGGAGGAATTGCTAGCTACCCAGCAGAAGGCAGAACATGACGCCGAGGATGAATCCTCAAAACTACGGTATCCATTGCGCACACTGGATGATGATGAACTGAAAGCAGTGACTTCTTCTGAGGATTTCCTGGATTTCGTCGAACGTTCCGCAAAGGTCATTGAGCGTGCTCTAGACGAGGAATATGACGTACTAGCGGACTATGAGCTTGGTGGACTTGATGGCGATGTGGAAGAGGATGACGAACATGGGAAGAAGAGGAGAGGCATCAGAGAGGTTTGCCAGTTTTGGGACGAACGATGGAGCAAGAAGCGCATGATCAGCGACGTGAGCTTTTCTCCAAAGGTCTGTCACCAGCGAGATTATTTTCCCCTTGTTATGCATCGCTGACTAGCCACCTATAGTTCCCAGAGCTTGTTTTAGCTGCATACACCAAAAACCCATCTGCACCTCATGAACCGGACGGCCTGGTTCAGATTTGGAACCAACACCTGCAATCCCGCCCCGAGTATGTGTTCCATTCTACATCCGATATCTTGGCGGCCAAGTTCTCTCCATTCCACCCTAATCTTATAGTTGGCGGTTCGTATTCCGGGCAGGTTCTGCTTTGGGATACGCGGTCATCGCGCGCAGGTGGTGGTGCACCGGTACAGAAGACGCCTCTGACTGGTTCTGGGCACACCCATCCGGTTTATAGCATTTCAATCATCGGCACACAGAATGCCCATAATATACTTACTGCGTCTACGGATGGTGTGGTTTGCGGCTGGACTGTTGATATGCTGTCTCAACCTCAAGAATATCTCGAACTTTCTACCCCCCCGCCATCTAAAACCGAAGATCTCGCCCCCACGACCATGTCGTTCCCACAATCCGATCCGACGTTTTTCATCGTTGGTACAGAAGAAGGCGGGATTTACCCCTGCCATCGCTATGACCGAGCCGGTGCTAAGGCCGGAACTGATCACCGTCTCGCGTACCGCGGCCATGCAGCCCCTATCATGTCTACAGCCTTCCACCCGGCACGGGGCCCTGTTGACCTGGGGGATCTAATGCTGAGTTCTAGTTTGGATTGGAGCGTGAAGCTATGGCGTGTTCGGCCACCAGCAACCACAGCACCGGCCACCTCAGCCATCTCCACGACACAGGTTGTATCTCCGATTCTCGACATCAACCGCGAAGACGTTGTCTATGATGCCCGGTGGTCTCCCCACCGCCCTGGCGTTTTCTCCCTCGTCGACGGTGCTGGAAACCTCGAAGTTTGGGACCTCTACACGGATACGGAAGTACCAGTTGTGCGGACCACACCGTCTAAGGGTCGTGGTGGCGTCTTGACGAGTAGTCTCAACAAGGTGGCCTGGGAGGAGCGCGAGGGAAGGCGGATTGCCACAGGTGGATTAGATGGGGTTGTCACGGTCTTTGAGGTAGGGAAGGGTCTTAGTGGCACTCCTGAAGATGTGCCTGCCGAAGAATGGGCCGGAGTGAAGCGACTGGTGGGGAAACTCGAGCAAAAGGACCGGATCAACTGAGGTGATAATTAGCTTTACGATTGACATAGATCGCTTCGTTTCTCAACCTCCAGTGGACGGTCAATGCGTTTGACTCAAGACTTTGTGCGGGGAGTGTTGATCCCCCATTGCCTGAATGCCGCAAGATCTTCATCCGCAGGCTATCGTCCAGTTGCTACAGCATGGTAGCTCCTCCCGTCCTCTTGCTCATTTTGTACCAAACTTCCTTGCATGGCGTCTTTATGTAGTTTTTATCATATACCCCTCGGGCAGCTGTTGATGTATGTATGCATTTGTTGGACCAGGAAGGCAGGTTCTCTGGATTTATACTCGACCTGACTTAGAAGGGCATTAAAATGTAAATATTCTACTTTCGAGATCTGCGTGGCGGGAGTGATTCGGTGTTCGGTGTTCAGCAAGGCAATTAGCGGTATCCATGCCATACGTGTCGCCATGTTCCTGTATGTCTCAGGCCGACATGACCTGCCGTGTGAAATGATCTCCACAAGGGCTCACAGTCTGCAGGGATTTTCAAGCACTACAATTCCCGATATGAACCGGACGGACATGGATCTGCCCCATCTCGGATCTGTTATGTGATGGGTAACACTTGGGCACCTCTTAGATGAAGTACCAGACCATCACTCCAGACTGATTCAAGAATTGGTCACTGGTGCTAGGTGAAATGCAAACTATTTTAGTGAAGTTACTCGCAAGGTGAAGTATCATTCCAAAGTTTTGTCGGATCTCGGATCGTTTCTGGAATTTGCGCGCATGATGGAAGAGGCCCCAGCCCCCATGATGGTACGAGGGCCTGCGAATAAGTTCCATTTCGGGCCATTTCGAGAGGAGGAGGGGTGTATGGTCTGCATCCATGGCTATATTGAAGGGAATATACTTTAAAATGACGGATCACTCACCGCTCATCTTCTGGAACTTTATGGCATATGCGGTTTGAGTACCCACCAAGTATTGGGAGAAAGTCAACACCTGAGGAGGTCAAATGATAAAAGTTCCCGTCAGTGGCCAGTAACTTTCCTAGTGACGGGACACTGAATGTAAGCAGCCGAGTAGGAAGGAAAAAAAAAAAAAAGAAAAAGAAATGAAAACCAGGGGTACAGCACAAGAGCAACGTTCCTCGTTCATCACATATCTGCAAAAATGGCGCAGGGATGCAGACCCATCGGAGGATATCCAGGACCCCCCAATAGTCGGGCGCGCGAGGTGATCCGACTGTCCCCTAGCGAGGTCATTCATTCCGGTCACAGACTCAAAGGTTGGAGAGTTTGATTGTTTTCAGGGGATCGACACGGGAACCTGATGCCTTGCATGGCACATGCCTGAGAGAAATCCATCATTGGAGTGCTGGCGGTTTTAGGGCTTGTCTGTCTGTTGACTCTAGACCGAATGAGAGGGGAAGCGTTAAGCCCCTTGCGGTATGGAGCTGCCGCGATGCCGATTGTTTCCCCAGCCAATCCACCGCCCTCGTCCTCCCATGAGACCGCATGCCGAGCACCAATGGAGCCTAAGGCTGCCCCACCTGCAAAAGGGTCCTTATCGATTGTCGACCCC